CCTCGGTTGTGTGTTTTGTGTCCAGCACTTGTCAATGCACTTTCCCTCCTTGGCTTGCTAGAAACCTTTCTGTCTCATCTGAGAATACCTCCCAAATTATGTTGAGGCCTTCACATACTTCTAGGTTGGTCCTTGTGAGCTCCTCGCTTTCCTTCCTCAAGCTGATTACCTGGTCCCTGACTGCTGCTTTCCTCCTGAAGTGGATATATAAAAAAAATTGGGGCTTATTGGCTTTCCGTGTTATATCATTCTCAAACTGATATCTGTGTTTACTCACCTACATGTTGTTGTAACGGTGGAATAACAACTCCTATGTTTGTACTCACCTATTTGTAATCATTTATTTGTAGTTGCAGGGTTCGATTCATGGCTCCTGGGCCTGCCTGTTCACTGGTCACTACTAGTCCCACTCTATCCCTGGTCTGTGAGCTTTATCGTACCTTTCCTTAAAGCTATCTATGTATAGATCCTGCCTCCGCTACATCAGTCTCATATTGTTTCAATTCCTGACAACGCTGATCCCATGTATCAGAAATCTTCCCTATGAGGATAGACTGAGGCCCTGAATCTGCTCTCTCTAGAAAGGCATAGAATTAGGGGGCATATAATTAAGGTGTATAAATGGAAAACAGGAATAAATAAAGGGGATGTAAATAGCATGCTGAAAATATCCAGCCAAGGCAGGACTCGCAGCAATGGTTTCAAGTTGGAACAGTTCAGACTCAGGAAGGTCATAGGAAAGCACTGGTTTGGTAACAGAGTTGTGGATGAGTGGAACAAACTCCCGAGTACCATCATAGAAGCTAAGACCTTGTGTAGTTTTAAAAATAGGTTAGATAAATACATGAGTGGGTGTGGGTGGGTGTGAGTTGGACCTGACTAGCTTGTGCTACCAGGTCTGGTGCCGTGCTGCTTCCTTTAAGTGGAAGTGACCTGACTAGGTGGTCATTGTTCTAGGCCGAGGGGTGACATGGACCTGCATGAGTCAGTAGGCCTGTTGTAGTGTTCCTTCTTTCTTATGCTCTTATGTTCATATAACTCTAGAAATACTTATATATATATTAACATCTCTGTGTTTTCAACTTCTAGTTGTGAACCCTTGTTGCTATGTCACTTCTGAAACATTTTGTCCCTATCCACCTTGTCAATTCCTTTGAGTATTTTATATGTCGTTATCATGTCCTCTCTATTTCTCCTGTCTTCCAGTGTTGTCAAGTTGCGTTCCCTTAACCTCTCCTCTTAGAACAACACCCTCAGCTCCGAAATTAGTCTTGTTGCAAACCTTATTACTTTTTCAAATTTCTTGACGTGTTTGACTAGGTGTGGGTTCCATACCGGTGTTACATACTCCAATATGAGCCTGACGTACACGGTGTACAGTGTCGTGAATGACTCCTTTCCTAGATGTCGAAGAACTATTTTCAGTTTCTCAGGAGTCCATTTGCTGCAACAGTGTGTGTATGTGTTTTAGAAGCATTGTGAACGAAAGCAACAGATGTAACATCACAAAACCTACATTTAAAACACTTCATCTAGGCCATGTGCCTAGGATATAGTATTTCCTCTCTGGAAAAGAAAGGTCGCCGCTGCTCTGGGGTCTTCGGTTTCCAGTGACTTTTTTTTATATCTAACTCCTTCAGAAATTTTTTACCCTATACTCTGAGGGCCTCTGATCCTATTGTAACGAAGTTATCAAATGGTCCTATCCGTTTTATTTGTTGATCTTACGTGTTTCTTAGAAACGGAAGGCACCATATTCCTTCAGCTTCGCTGTATCATAAGTGTCGGCCATTGTAGCGGCACTAGTTTAACTATATTATAAATATGGCATTTTCCAATGTAGCATGAAGAATTCATCTGGGTGCTTCTGGTTATCATTGGACTGGTTATCATTGATGGATATTTTATTTTGAGTTGGGGGTAGGGTTATGCCTTGAAATATTTGCAAGCCAAATGACAGGAAAATGTTTTACGGCCAGTTCGAATCTGCAGCCGATTTATTGATCGTTCTCAACTTATAAAGATTCCATAAATAGCTATTTGGTGCCCATTTGGGGCACATTAGTACACGATAAATAAATTTAAATTCATTAGTATTAACTCCATTTGAATGTTAATGCAAGAATCTCTCAATAAATGTCTAAATAAATTCCTGATGATATAGATAATGTGTACTGAAATAATACATTCTTGACCACGCTTTAAATAATACTTAGTTAATTATTAGGTTCAACAATAACAGAAGACACAGTGGATTTACAAGAAAAGGAATTTAACAAATCTGCTTCATCTTGTGGATGCTGCCATTCCTGCTTGAGGAGCCACAATGAGCTCTCAGATAACCCAACAATGACAGATCGTATAAAGTATGCCTTCTCCTGCCCTGCACTAATTTATCAAGTTATGTGTTGCATGAAAGATTAATACTTTTGGATGTTTTATTATTTACATTTGATGTTAGTTTTAGATGTTATACTAATTCGGTAAGTAGTCAGAATTTCTTAACAGTACAGTGGTCCCTCAATAATCGACCGGCCTGAAAGTCGACCATTTCGGAAATCAACCGGTTTTTTCGACAAAATATTGACTCGGAAATTGACCGAAATTCGTTTATCGACCCGTCTCGACCCATCGTCCCAGACGCGTATGGACGAGGTAAGCGGGCCTCGACCCGCCTCAGCCTTCCTTCCCAGCCAGTGTGCCATTGTTTACCAGTTAGCGGCGGTCCTCTCACGTGCTCCAGTGAAATATTTCATAATATTTCATTTATTTTAGTGCTTGCAAGTTATTTAAGTGCTAAATAAGCTACCATGGCTCCAAAGAAAGCTCCTAGTGCCAAACCTTTGGTAAAGAAGGTGAGAAATACCATTGAATTTAAGAAAAACATCATTGAACAATATGATAGTGGCGTAAGTGTGGGCGAACTGGCGAGGATGTATAACAAAAATCATTCAACCATATCTTCCATCATAGCCATGAGAAAGGAAATCAAGGATGCTGTTGTTGCAAAGGGGGTAAATATGCTGACAAAAATGAGATCACCAGTACTGGAAGAGGTTGAGAAGTTATTATTGGTGTGGATAAATGAGAAACAATTAGCAGGAGACAGTCTTATGACCTCGATTATTTGTGAAAAGGCTAGGCAGTTGCATGAAGATTTGGTAAATAAATTGCTGCAAATAGTGGTGAAGTGAGTGATTTTAAGGCCAGCAAAGGCTGGTTTGAGAGATTTAAGAAGCGTACTGGCATACACAGTGTGGTAAGGCATGGTGAGGCTGCCAGTTCGGACCACAAGGCGGCTGAAAAATATGTGCATGAATTCCAGGAGTACATAGAGGCTGAAGGACTGAAACCTGAACAAGTGTTCAATTGTGACGAAACAGGCCTCTTCTGGAAGAAAATGCCAAAGAGGACCTTCATTACACAAGAGGAAAAGTCAATGCCAGGACACAAGCCTATGAAAGACAGGCTGACACTAATGTTCTGTGCTAATGCTAGTGGGGATTTCAAAGTGAAGCCGTTACTAGTGTACCATTCTGAAAATCCCAGAGCATTTAAGAAAAATAATGTAATGAAGAGTAAATTGTGTGTGTTTTGGAAATCTAATAATAAGGCATGGGTCACGAGGGAAATTTTTGTAGAGTGGTTCAACGAAGTGTTTGGCCCTAGTGTGAAGAATTACCTCCTGGAGAAGAAATTGGATCTCAAGTGCCTGCTAGTAATGGACAATGCACCTGCTCATCCACCAAACTTGGATGACCTAATTTTGAAGGAGTTTGGGTTCATCTCAGTAAAGTTCTTGCCCCCGAATACCACTCCTCTCCTCCAACCCATGGACCAGCAGGTCATTGCAAACTTTAAAAAACTGTACACCAAAGCAATGTTTGAAAGGTGCTTCAGTGTGATCTCAGACACTCACTTGACCCTACGAGATTTTTGGAAAGAACATTTCAGTATTTTCCATTGTGTAAGCCTTATAGGTAAGGCTTGGGAGGGAGTGTCTACCAGGACTTTGAACTCTGCTTGGAGAAAATTGTGGCCAGATTGTGTCGACAAGAGGGATTTGGAAGGGTTTGGGGCTGACCCTGATGAGCCTATGTCAGTTTTGAACTCTATTGTGGCACCGGGGAGTTCCATGGGGTTGGATGTGAGTTTGGAGGATGTGGAATAGTTGGTGGAGGACCACAACGAAGAGCTAACCACTGAGGAGCTGCAAGAGCTTCAGGAGGAAGAGCAACAGATCGCAGCTCAGAATCTTGCTGCAGAGGAGGAGGAAGAGAGATGGAAGAAGGTGCCTTCTTCAGAAATTAAGGAGATTTTTACTATGTGGGGTAAGATGGAAAGATTTATGGAGAAACATCACCCAGAGAAGGATGTTGCAAGCCATATCGGCAACTTGTACAGTGACAGAGTCTTGGCCCATTTTAGGGAAGTTTTAAAGAGACGCCAGAAACAGAGCTCTCTGCACAGTTATTTTGCGAGACAGGACTCCAGTGACTCTCAAGCTGGTCCTAGTGGCATTAAGAAACAGAGAAAAGAAGCAACCCCAGAAAAGCAAATGGTACCTGAGGTGTTGCTGGAAGGGGATTCCCCTTCCAAACTATAAACAATCCACTCTCTCCTCCTCCTCCAGTCTCCCATACACTAAGAAGAATCTCCAATAAAGGTAAGTGTTATGCTGTTAATGTTTCATTCATCATTTCCCATTGTATTGTTTATGTACTACATGAATATTTCATGTAAAAAATTTTTTTGTTTTAATACTTCTGGGTGTCAGGAACGGATTAATTGAATTTACATTATTTCTTATGGGGAAAATTGATTCGTAAATCGACCATTTCGATAATCGACCGGCTTCCAGGAACGGATTACCGTCGATAATCGAGGGACCACTGTATTAATTATATTGTTTTTATAATACATTGACTATTATTTATACAATTATAATATGAACCATTGTGTATTAAAATTCATTTTCTTTATCTTAACCAGATTGGAGATTGTCTTATTTGGATAGTGTTTGGCCTGGCTTGCTGAGGCTGACTCATCTCTATTACGTGGGAGATGGCTCTTCCTGGCTGAAAGTTATTTAGTCTCCTCTTACTGTATGTGATGGCACTGCTGGCTGGGATGATGGCCGACTATGTAGGCCTACCTTCATTACTTGGCAGCTTGGTAATGGGAATACTTTTCAACATTATTCCTGGGATAAATGCTCTTGGACATAATATTGATATCTATTATTCATCTGTTCTAAGGTAAGATTTTTTACGTTCTATAAAATATGTGAAGCACTGATTAAAAATTCAACTTTCATAAATTATTATTTTATATTGATTTAATAAATAAAGCTTTATTCATGAATTATAAATACAGTACTTTCTTCGAACACTCATTAATCCAAACATTCTTCCTCTGAATGAGTCATTACTACATTATCCTAAATTATGACGACTGCAGTAAATTTATGTAGAAACTTGGTACCCAGTAAAATAAAATTATACAGACTGATTTCAGAGAAAATGCCTCGAGTTTATAATGTAATTCAGAGAACAATTGTTTTAAGTTTCGTATATTGTAATGTTTTGTCCATAATCATTCTTGTGAAGATTAGATTTTAGATTTTGCCACCGAAGTGGCTAGTTTATTGTGCACCCCATATCCATCCTGTGGACGGTAGCGCGAGAGCATGTGGACACACAAAAGGCCTAGGAACTAGGCCCCAAAGGGTTAACAGGAATACATATGGATTTATATCTACATATCTATAGTTCACTTATCTGTTACAAGCAAATTTAGGAAATTTGCTTAGTAAAAGTGTCTTGTGAAGAGGATATGAGCTTCACATAAAAAAAAAGTGAACTGAACCTAATTAGATTAATATAATATAGTCTAATTAACTCAAGTAGTTCCTAAACGTTTAGTAAGCTCATCAATAAATGAAAAATGGAAATTTTTCCACTATAAAATTATATATTTAAAAAGGTTTTATCCTTTAGTTTCATAAAAGTTTATGCTCTTTATCCATGGAATTGGAGTTACCTTCTCCTTCCAAGTATCAAACCTGATTATATCCCAGACTGGAAGTATTGGCACTTTTCTATAAAAATAACAGTTGCCACTTCTGAGAGTGACTCTCTTATCAATTAATACATCATTTAATTTTGCAGGAATATTGCGCTTACAATTATATTAATACGTGCTGGACTCGGACTGGACCCAGTCGCACTGAAGAGGTTAAGCTGCACTGTACTACGTTTGGCTTTCCTTCCTTGTTTAGTAGAAACAGTAACAATGGGCATTGCTTCAGCATTCTTCCTTGATCTTCCCTGGAGTTGGAGTCTTATGCTTGGGTAAGTACCCATGTTCTTCACTTATACATATTCTGATATCATTTTATTCATAACTAATATCCGCTAGATATTTGTACGTCTACAATTCCAATATTATAGATTTTTTTGTAATTATTCATAAAGCTGTCGAATCATTTCATATTATGCCTTTCATTGGTTTTGATTAGCAATTTTTAGATTAAATGTTTATTTATTTATTTATTTATTTATTTATTTATTTATTTATTTTCAATTTGTGCACACATACAGAGGTACAAAAAAATACAGGTAAGAGCAGTATGCCAAAGCCACTTATACTATGCATAGCATTACGGGCTGGCTTAAAATTAACTTAAGATTAACTAAGCAATGATGAAATCAGTGATAAAACATTAATGTAAACAGATTACTATAAAGCACAAGTGAGTATTACAAAGACAGGTCATATTGTTGCATTCAGTTAGGTAGTGATTCTGTTAGGTAGTGTATTTAAAAAATAATAAAGTTAGATTCGGTTTTAGGTTTAACATTTATATGATATAATTGTGAGAAACATTTAAGATATACAATTTATAAGGTTCAGTTATTCAGTATTTATTTGGTTTTGGGTGAGTAAGTGATCTTTGAGAAGAGACTTGAATTTATAATCAGGTAGTGTTTCTTTTATATTTACAGGTAATGAATTCCAGATTTTAGGGCCTTTTATGTGCATTGAGTTTTTGCATAGTGTGAGATGGACACGAGGAACATCAAAGAGTGATCTGTGCCTTGTGTTATGGTCATGTGTTCTGTTGAGGTTGGCAAGGAGATGTTTGAGGGGAGGGTTAATATCAGAGTTAAGTGTTCTATGTATGTAATAGGTGCAGTAATAAGTATGGATGTTTTGTATGGTGAGTAGGTTTAGTGTATTGAATATTGGTGGAGTGTGCTGCCTGTAGTGAGAATTTGTTATCATTCTAACTGCAGCCTTTTGTTGAGTAATTAGTGGTCTGAGATGGTTAATTGTTGTTGAGCCCCATGCACAAATTCCATAGGTGAGATAGGGGTAAATAAGAGAGTGATATAGGGCCAGGAGGGCTGACTGTGGAACATAGTACCGTATCTTCGATAGTATGCCTACAGTCTTGGAAATTTTCTTAGAGATGTGTTGTATATGTGTATCAAATTTGAGTCTATTATCAAGGTGGATTCCTAAGAATTTTCCCTCTGTTAGTTTTGTGATAGGTGATCCGTTTATCATTATGTTAAGAGGGACATCTGTAGCTCTGTTACCAAACTGAATGAAGTAGGTTTTGTCAATGTTTAGTGTAAGTTTGTTAGTCCTCATCCAGGTAGATATTTTCTGTAATTCGGTATTTACAGTATTGGCTAGCGTGACTGGGCTCGGGTGAGAGAATACGTATGTAGTGTCATCTGCAAATAGTGTGGGTTTGAGTAATTGCGAAGCATTTGGAAGGTCATTTATGTATAGGAAAGAGAAGAGGGCCAAGGACACTTCCCTGTGGGACACCAACTGTAATTGGTTGCGCAGAAGAGTTTGCCCCATTTGCGTACACATATTGGCTTCTGTTGCTGAGGTATGACTTGAGGTAGTTGAGGGAGTGCCCTCTTATACCATAGTGTGACAATTTTACGTGGAGCAAGTCATGGTCAACTGTATCAAAAGCTTTACGTAAGTCAATGAAGATCCCCAGTGGGACTTCTTTTTTCTCTATTGCAGTGTATATATGTTCTAGCATGTGTATAATAGCATCATTAGTATTTTTATTAGGCCTGAATCCAAATTGGCAGGGGTTGAGTATGTTTTGGGAGATAAGGTAGGAGTAGATTCGTTTATGAATTAATTTTTCAAAGATTTTTGAGAGAGGGTGTAAGTTGGATATTGGCCTATAGTTATTCAACTCTGTTTGGTCTCCTCCTTTGTGGATCGGGGTGACCCTTGCTATTTTGAGTACTGTAGGGAAGGTGGAGGATTCAATGGATTTGTTAAAGAGTGTTGCAATGATTGGTGATAGCACTTGTGACACTTTTTTGTATATAAAGGGTGGTAAGGTATTTAAATCTCCTGCCTTGTTTTTTAGTGCGTTGATAATAAGGGAGACTTCATATGGGTTAGTCGGAGCTAGGAACAGAGTGTTCGGGTAGTGTTTACAGTCATATAACAGGAGTTCTCCATCTGACAAACTCAACAAATTACACAAATTAACAGGCGCAAATATTGCACTTAAGAACAAATTAAATTTCACAGTTGTCGTGCTACTGAACAAGAATGTTTAATAATTTACCTTTCCACAGTTGTTAAAATATAGAGAACGAAACTTTTGTTTTTAAATTAGGAACGTCATGTAAATATACTGTCCATTTCTCAGGGTTGATTTATTAATCACTTGGCTGGATTACCTTCTGACCAGGTTCTTTGAAAGCAGTCAGATTTCAGGCCACCTATCTTAATTAAATCTTAGGAAATTCAATATCAAGAAGGTTCAGGTCACAGCCCTCGGGAGGTATAATGTGTGGACAAGTTTTCTTTACACTTTTTTCCCACCTAACAGTAAAAATAGATACCTGACTGTTAGCCAACTGTTATGGGCTGCATCAATGGAGAACTGCTATGGAGATGTGCAAGAAATGAAAATCCTGCCAAAATTCACAATCTGGGAAAAAATGTGAATATAAAAAACATTCCAGTAGCATAATTTGTGTTGGATGAAATACATCCATGTAGTTCATGAATTAAATTTTCTTAATTAAAAATACTAATTTAAATAAGCATCAACCTGATCAGAACGTGTTCCATGTATCGTTTATATTACCAAATTATTATGTTACTGTTCTTCTTGAAACATAATAAATAAAACGTAAAAAAGAAAGACTTATTTGCGATGATCCGAATTAAAAAACATTTGCAGGAGAACAAAGTCCCTCTGTCCTCTTTTTCATTGATCAGACAATTTTCGTAATTACCAAGTTGCAACTCATAACCTTTAAATCTTAGAGATGGATAGGAAATCACTGCAAACTAGATGTATTTCTGCCAGAGTCCCCTGAGTGTCAGTGTACACAGTCAGAGTCCCCTGAGTGTCAGTGTACACACCTGAAATAGTACATAATGCACCACTAGTTTGTATTGCAGTTAAATACAAATGTTGAAGATTTGAAGCGAATCAGAAAAGACATTCACAAGTTATCACCTGAAAACTAATATCCTAATTTTTTCCAGTAAAAATGGCATATTTAAATATACACATCCTAAATCTAGTTCAAACCTTCCACTTAGAAGCACCAAATTTGCAGCGAAACTGAAGAGGCTTTCTCTTGATATCTCAGAGAGACCACTGTCCTAAAATGAACCAGCATATTAAGCTTGATGCTTCACTGTACCTAACAATGTACTTCACTGCACCTAACACTGTGCTTCACTGCACCTAACATTGTGCTTCACTGCACCTAACAATGTGCTTCACTTCACCTAACAGTGTCCTTCACTGCACCTAACACTGTGCTTCACTGCACCTAAAAATGTGCTTCACTGCACCTAACAATGTGCTTCACTGCACCTAAAAATGTGCTTCACTGCACCTAACACAGGGCTTCACTTCACCTAACACTGTGATTCACTGCACCTAAAAATGTGCTTCACTGCACATAACAATGTGCTTCACTGCACTTAACAATGTGCTTCACTGCACCTAACACTGTGCTTCACTGCACCTAACAGTGTGCTTCACTGCACCTTACAATATCCTTCACTGCACCTAACAATGTGCTTCACTGCACCTAACAATGTGCTTCACTGCACCTAACAGTGTGCTTCACTGCACCTTACAGTGTGCTTCACTGCACCTAACAATGTATTTTACTGCACCTAACAGTGTGCTTCACTGCACCTTACAGTGTGCTTCACTGCACCTAACAATGTATTTTACTGCACCTAACAGTGTGCTTCACTGCACCTAACAGTATCCTTCACTGCACCTAACAATATCCTTCACTGCACCTAACAGTGTGCTTCACTGCACCTAATAGTGTGCTTCACTGCACCTTACAGTGTGCTTCACTGCATGTAACAATGTATTTTACTGCACCTAACACTGTGTATCACTGCACCTTACAGTGTGCTTCACTGCACCTTACAGTGTGCTTCACTGCACCTAACAATGTATTTTACTGCACCTAACAGTGTGCTTCACTGCACCTAACAATATTCTTCACTGCACCTAACAATGTGTTTAACTGCACCTAACAATGTGCTTCACTGCACCTAACACCGTGCTTCACTGCACCTAACACCGTGCTTCACTGCACCTAACAATGTGTTTAACTGCACCTAACAATGTGCTTCACTGCACCTAACAATGTGTTTAACTGCACCTAACAATGTGCTTCACTGCACCTAACACCGTGCTTCACTGCACCTAACACCGTGCTTCACTGCACCTAACACCGTGCTTCACTGCACCTAACAATGTGTTTAACTGCACCTAACAATGTGCTTCACTGCACCTAACAATGTGTTTAACTGCACCTAACAATGTGCTTCACTGCACCTAACACCGTGCTTCACTGCACCTAACAATGTGCTTCACTGCACCTAACACCGTGCTTCACTGCACCTAACACCGTGCTTCACTGCACCTAACACCGTGCTTCACTGCACCTAACACCGTGCTTCACTGCACCTAACACCGTGCTTACTTTGGCAGTTTTTCAAGTATTTACTAAACTTATAAAAATGAAAACGGCATAAAAATGGATTTTCCGTATTTTTTAATTTTCTTTTTACAATTCTTTTCTATTTAAAATTCTCTGTAATCCTTTAAGATTTTTTAAGATATTTTAAAACTGACAAATGACAAGTAAAAGAGTTAAATTTGATAAAAGATACTTCCAGTTAATATGTACTTCCAGTTAATATGTACTTACAGTTAATATGTACTTCCAGTTAATATGTACTTCCAGTTAATATGTACTTCCAGTTAATATGTACTTACAGTTAATATGTACTTCCAGTTAATATGTACTTCCAGTTAATATGTACTTCCAGTTAATATGTACTTCCAGTTAATATGTACTTCCAGTTAATATGTACTTCCAGTTAATATGTACTTCCAGTTAATATGTACTTACAGTTAATATGTACTTACAGTTAATATGTACTTACAGTTAACATGTACCTTCGTTCGTATGTTTGAAACTGCTAGAGAGGCACTTTACAGTTATTACTTGAAAACCAATTTAATGAAATTGATATACATAGCTCAAAGTGAAGCTAAGTTTTATTATAATAAAGCTAGTCAAAATCGAAAGTTTCAAGTCTGTCACAAAAGACTATTGACTCTATTGACTCTAAATTCATAGATCTTTTCTTTTTTATGGAATGCATGAATTTTAAATACTTTGAAGCCCATAAGACAAAGCATTCTCTAGTTAATGAATGTATATCAAACTGAAACTTACGCCACCTTTAATGTTTCTTGGCGATTTCGTACAACGTTCAAGTTGGTCATCAGTCACTGATGAATGTGGTACAGCAACTCCAGGGACCATCGATGCCCTCCTAAAAGCAACACATGTAACCAAATCAAGGTATTCTCCTCCGATGGCATATGATGCTTTGACAAGGTTTCTCTGCGAAGCATATGGTACATATCATCCAGGGTTGCATTGGAAAAATGGACTCCTTCTATGGAAGCTTTCCTTTATATCTAGACTCCTTGCAGTCCCTTACACCTCTGCTTTTCTTCCCAATCACAATAAGTAGGCTCGCTGAGTTCCTGTTTATATTCAAGATCTTAAAGAATTACCAGACATACTTTAAAAGCCATAAATCAAAGTTATGAGCAACGGAACAAAATATTGAAGAGTTCTGGAGGAGTGATTGTATTAATACAAGATCCAGTATTTTTTGTTATAAGGTCCCTTTGTAAATCACTGTTCATTCAGTTGCTCCAGGACATCGTGAGAGATTACACAGAACAGAAATCAGATTTTTTCACCACGATCTGGGATAAAAGCAACAGACTAAATTTCTCACTGATGTCCAAAACTTTACTGTGTCATTCGAATATTGAGAAATCCTTTCGTAGAACTTGGAGACCTAGGAAATTTGGCTGAGATTTTTTACTAACAATGATTAAGCCAGGAAACTTGAAAAGCTAGAAAGATCAGCTCGACGACTTTGCGAAAGATGTCATCACTTAGAAGGAAAGAATAATTTTAGTATCCAATTATAAAGAACTCCTTCCTTTCATAAATAAAAAACAACAACAGTAAAACGCAAGCTTTTTCTCCGTCCATTGCAAAAAGTGAAGTAATGTATTTTTAGAGGAATCGTATGTCACTGAATGTCTTAAGAAATAAATTAATAATTTACCATTTTCTTTTTTCAGTGTTTCAAACCTTGTTGTATTATTACCTAGTACATGGCTGAGCACTCATCCACATGCTGGTTCCCCTAAGTGGAGTTTCAATTTTCAAAAACTACAGACACATGTATTTCAAGAAGCACATTCAGAGTGAGCTTAGGAAGGTCTCCTTTCTCCATATTATTTGGGACGTCTATGGACAAGACTCCATCAAGGATGGCACCAGATCATTGCGCTTAAAAATTGGCCAGATGGTGAAAATACCTTGAAAATCTTTTTGCGTTCCTAGAAAATTGCTAAATAAAGTTGAACTCTTTCAGTCCTGTGGGAAGAGCTCATCGAGACCCAGTCCTCTCCAGGTGATCTATACCCCTCCAGTACTAAATGGAACGACAGTCAAGCACCGGAAACCAAGTCAAGACAAAAAGCAAGACTTTTGCTAAGAATAACCAGATAACAACTCATGATGTGTGCATATTCTATATTCTCTGTGGACTAGCAATTCAAACATTTTGGCGATGACCTCAGACTCTGATGATGTGACCATTACTTTCATATTCCTTTCTTTGAAGCCATATCTGTTACCAACTGTGAAGATTCTGTCAGCTACAACACTGAGAGGCATCAGCTCCGTATAACCATCAAGAACATCACTGAAACTTTAGGCAGAAAACAATAGAGCCCATCCTCTGCTTGCTGCAGTGACTGACTGTGAGTCAGCTTCTTGCCTGAGAGGCGGTCATAATGTCTTTGTTGCAAAGTCTTGCAGAAATTCCCTAAAGATGTCATGGAGATTATGGATTCCTTCCAACCATTTAATATACTGGACATTAACTCATCAATTCCTTTGAATATTTCATTATTCAAAGTTATCGAGGAGGTACGAGGTCGGTGAACCACTACAGGAAGCAGTTGTTTTGCCAGGGAAATCAGAATGTAGAATTGATTCCAGCGACTCGGAATGCTCTGCGCCACCACTCCAAAAGGGATCTCTACCAAGCCAGCATTGAGTATCTTGGCACTATTCAAACCCTGACCACAGTGTGTATGGCTGGAAAAGAGTTAAGGGAAAGCTTATTCAACAGCAGATTACCATCCTACAAGTTTGAACGTTGTGCCCAGATCTGGGTAAGTGTTGTTGTTGACAACTATGTACATGGTGGGTCTTGCAGCTGCATGAAGAAGGGACTACCCTGCACAGCCCTCAACAAATATCTGTGCAAAACTTTTTAACATTTAAGTACATTATTATTATGATTATGTCTGATACAGTTATAACTGTTTCAGTTACCAATAAAATTATGACTGACTTTATTTTTATATTTGACAGAATAAGGTATTGCATAATTCACTTTTAACTCTGCTGTATATCGCTCAGGATGGTCATTTTGGTCTTATTTAGAAGCCAATAAAAATGTTATAAAATGTTTGTTTTGAAGCATTAGAGAATATAATATGCCTCTGGCTGGGATGGAAATGGTGATTATCACATCTCACGAAATCATAATCACATGATTGCCAACAAACCACAGAACGGGTGAGGTTAGAACCCATGGTGAGTGAGTTGTTGAACTCCAGGTCAGTGCTTAAGCCACTGGCCTGGAGTTTAATTAACATCTCATTCAGTGTGGGTTCATACCACACCCGTTCCGTTTTTTAATTATCATAATTTTATCGATTATTTTTAACAGTAACAACGCTTATATGTTGCAGACACATTTAACAATGAAAACGGTAGTGAAATATGTATATTTGTTTCATAAAACATAGATGAATCATTCATATCTGTATTTCATTTGGTTACAAAGATATATATGGCAACGGAAGCATGTGATTCTCACAGTTCCTCGATTTCAGGGGTTTTTCCCTGCAAGCCCAAAGGAAAATTTTTTTGGGCCTTTTCATCGGGATCGATTATCACTATTTAACAATTTTTTTTCCTGGCTAGTAAGATTTATTTTCCAACTCCTTTTATTGCAAAAAAATAGAAAATGTCCATTATTCTTTTTAAACTTTACTTTTGTGGCTTACAGGATGATTTTTTGACACAACAATCTCAATATTTTTTGCTAGTTGTGGATGTAAAACAAAAACATTTAATAAAATAAATGAAATTTACATAAAAGTAAAATTTACACAAATTTTATTTTAAACATATTTACAAAGTTAAAATAACCAGTTTTTCTAGATTTGCGAGCATGCAACAAATCACTTTCCCGTTTAAGCCCCAAAATGTAGTCTCCCATAATGTTTCCATTATAAGATCCCTGATATCTGTGTTCAAAGTCCATTACATATGTTGGTGGAAACACTCCCCTTGATCCTCTGAGTATGCTCCCACATTCTTGAAATTGTCAAGATGAGCATCAAGGATATGCACCTTAAGGGACATCCTACACCTCATCTGACCATAGTTTTTCACCAAGGTTTCATCAAGTTCCACATAATTATCAGCCTTGTTGTACCCCAGAAAGCCCTGTGCTACAGCAACAAAACTCTCTCAGGCTTCCTTTTCCTTGTCTGTGAGATTCTTTGGAAATTCTGACTTATGGTCCAGTGAAGATGCCAACCTTCACCTTTGCCTCTGATAACTTGGGAAAGAAGTCGTGAAGATACTTGACAGCTGCAGACTCTTTGTCAAGGGCTGTAACAAACTGTTTCATTAGCTCTAGTTTGATGTGTAATGGAGGGAGCAGAACCTTTTGAGGATCCACCAATGGTTTATGCTTGATATTATGTCTTCCTACTGAGAACGCAGTCCTGGCAACACACCCCCCCACTCTTCATAGATCTAAACTTACTCCCTGTTCAGTACATCCACACTTATTACTGTGCAATCTACATCTACAGGACCTTAAATTCCAATATTAACCTTGACCTAAAATGCTTTCTTGATAGTTGCGACAGAACCCACAGGCACAATACCAGACACAAACATCTCTATGACATTCCCCGTGTCCGACTAAACCTTTACAAAAATTCAATGTATGTCAAAGGCCCTAAAATCTGGAACACCCTACCTGAAAATTCTAAAACTGCAGACACATTCATCACCTTCAAAACTACCATCAGATAACATCTTATCTCCCTGATACACCCTGTCAACTAATTACATGAATACCACCTGGTGGTTAACACTTACACTCACTCACCCATTTGACCATAAACAGAAATATCAATCTCAATCTCAAAATAATGAATCTTAACTAGTCATAAGTTGGCCTGTGATACTCCAATACTAAAACTATGTATAGTGCCAAATCAAAAGCATTCACATTGCTAAACTCACAAACTAGTATTTAGTCACTTAGCCATAATACCAACTTACCTCATAATTTTGTAATATTTTAAACTTAAGATTTAATTTAAGTCTGCCCGAAATGCCTAGCCATGCTAGGTGTTCTAGTGGTACACTCTGTAATTATTATTTTACTACATGTAAACAATACAATAACCAAATTCAGTAAACTCAGCATTGTAATCCTTATAGAGAATAAACTTTGAATTTGAATTTGAATTTGAGGCCAGTGCTTCCTCTGGCAATGTGCTGCTCTGTCTCTACTATCCCAATGACAGAGATAACAGGGAATCTCGGTAAACCATCCTTGGAGTGCCACCATTTTGAAGTCTTCAGTAACTTCCCAGCCATACTTATTATAGTTCAAAGCTTCCAGTAGAAGTATGACACTGTTGTAGTCCTCTTTAAGATGCACTAAATTAACCAAGGGAAGAGATGGATATTTGTTCTCATTTTGCAGAAGTACAACTTTTAGGCTTCTGGAGGAGCTGTCAATGAAGAGTCTCCACTCATCTGGATTGCATGCAATTCCAGTTGCATCAAACAGGCCTGATACATCATTACAGTAGCGTAACCTGTCTTCATTAGTGAAGAAGCTTGAGAAATGTTCGTGACATTTTTTTAGGCTTGTCACTTTGACACTTTCATCCACCATGTCCCCACTCCTTGAGCTTTGAAATCAAAAGCTCAGCATTTGACTGCCAAACCAAGATCTCTGATAAGGTCATTGAAGTCTGTTTGGTTTCGGTAGTAAGGATTCCTCCCAACAGCTGCATTTGTGAGATCATAGTCTTGTTCACGGTGCTTTTCGTTTTCTGATTTGCTGCTTTCTTCTTCTGACGGTTGACTTCTTTCTGGAGATGTAAGTACAGGAAGATCAGCACTGTGTGGTATAGGTGTAATAGAAGAGGGAAGGTCTGGATAAGAAATAGCTGGTGCATTTTTCCCAGTTCGGCGTTTAGGTTCCTAAATGCTCACAAACAACATGAGGTGCCCAGGTCTTGTCTTGGTCCGCAATTGACATGCCAAAATATGCTTTGTTATTTATGCTTTGTAAGCTTCACACATTTTTTTAGATGCTGTTACAGAGAGCTTCTTTGCTCTTGTCTTAATGAATTGACCACATATATAGTAGAATGTATCTGGAGAATGATTGCAGCCACTTGATGCAGTTTCATTTCTTCTGATGTGTCTTCTCGTGTAGCCAGAGCTGAAATAAATGCTGGTTTGTGAGCCCCTGTTTTTATATAGGCCCAGCAAAACCCTAGAACATAATAGTTTTACATCAGTTTTTCTTGAAAGTGTCACAGAAGTGTTCGGACTACAAAAGCAAAGTTCTGGGATCAAAGTTGCCTTTTTAAAGTTTGTTTAGTTATAAAGCATCGGGAAATGATGCTTATTTCCCAGGAACATGACAAAAGTGAAATGTTGTTACATCGTGTTATTTATGAGCAATTAATCTGGAAAATACTATGGGCAAGCTTTTTCACGCCGTCTGATTACCGACATACCTGGAGTTTACCTGGAGAGGGTTTTGGGGTCAACGCCCCCGCTGCCCGGTCTGAGACCAGGCCTCATGGTTAATCAGGGTGTGATCAACCAGGGTGTGATCAACCAGGGTGTGATTAACCAGGGTGTGATCAACCAGGGTGTGATTAACCAGGGTCTGATCAACCAGGGTCTGATCAACCAGGGTCTGATCAACCAGGGCCTGATCAACCAGGTTGTGATCAATTAGGTCACGCCCACTACTAGGAGAAATTTCAATATTTTTCCTCGAAGCATTTTTATCTACTTTTATAAGTTTAAGCAAATTAATATTTAGGTAAAGTTTTTTTTATCTAGGTAATCTTTTGGTATAGTCTTGAGCAGCTAGTGCAAGTGCTAGTGCTAGTGCTAGTGCTAGTGCTAGTGCTAGTGCTTATTTCCACAAGAATCACTTATTCTTCTACTGATACTTCGAACAACCTTTAATTATTAGTTTGTCATCAATCTGTAGAGAACCAAATTTTTATCATTTTAAAGGTAGTTGATGCTATAAATAACATTGTAGTCAGTGCCGCAGCGTGTGAACATGAATCACCCACCACCATAACCTGTACTGACACAACCTGTACTGACACAACACGACCACAACCTGTACTGACACAACACGACCACAACCTGTACTGACACAACACGACCACAACCTGTACTGACACAACACGACCACAACCTGTACTGACACAACACGACCACAACCTGTACTGACACAACACGACCACAACCTGTACTGACACAACACGACCACAACCTGTACTGACACAACACAACCACAACCTGTACTGACACAACACGACCACAACCTGTACTGACACAACACGACCACAACCTGTACTGACACAACATGACCACAACCTGTACTGACACAACATGACCACAACCTGTACTGACACAACACCACCACAACCTGTACTGACACAACATGACCATAACCTGTACTGACACAACACGATCACAACCTGTACTGACACAACACCCCCCACAACCCTGTACTGACACAACCCCACCACAACCTGTACTGACACAACACGACCACAACCTGTACTGACACAACACGACCACAACCTGTACTGACACAACACGACCATAACCTGTACTGACACAACACCACCACAACCTGTACTGACACAGCACAACCACAACCTGTACTGACACAACACGACCATAACCTGTACTGACACAACACGACCACAACCTGTACTGACACAACATGACCACAACCTGTACTGACACAACATGACCACAACCTGTACTGACACAACACGACCACAACCTGTACTGACACAACACGACCACAACCTGTACTGACACAACACCACCACAAACTGTACTGACACACAACACGACCACAATCTGTACTGGCACACAACACGACCGCAACCTGTACTGACACACAACACGACCACAACCTGTACTGACACACAACACGACCACAACCTGTACTGACACACAACACCACAACCTGTACTGACACACAACACGACCACAACCTATGCTGACAAACACAACACGACCACAACCTGTACAGAAACACAACACGACCACAACCTGTACTGACGCACAACATGACCACAACCTGTACAGAAACACAACATGACCACAACCTGTACTGACACACAACACGACCACAACCTGTACTGACACACAACACGACCACAACCTGTACTGACACACACAACACGACCACAACCTGTACAGAAACAACACGACCACAACCTGTACTGACACACAACACGATCACAACCTGTTCTGACACACAAGACGATCACAACCTGTACTGACACACAACACGATCACAACCTGTACTGACACACAACACGACCACAACCTGTACTGACACACAACGCAATCA